TGTGCACTTACCATAGCATGGATTAACATGTCCAGGCATCTGATCACAGATACTCGGAGGTACTGGGCCAAACGGGAGAAGCAAGCTCAAATACGACCCTCTAATGCGAGGGGAGCACTGCCTGAGACAGCATACACAAGTAGGTTCTCGCAAATGCCACCTATACTTCCCGCTATATGGCTCAGCATGAGGGGATATCCTGGAGCCCCGACATCCAGGAATTTTTTGCAGTGTCGTGCCGGGGCTTGATGATCAAGAAGGCTCCCGCAGAAGCCTCTGACCTGGCCACATGATCCAGGAAGCATGAAGCCGGAACCAGGGCTATCATACCGGCTGGACATAATGTCGACGAGTGAGGTAACACTGCAAGTCGAGCACCTGGTTTCTGAATCCCAGCAAAGGTGTGCTCACAGAGGACCTACCTTAGAGAGGACAGAAACCCACAGGTCCCGGAAACACTGCAAAGAAATCTCACAGAAGGATTATACACACATAACCACCAGCACATTAAATACATACATATATATAGAATGGATCATACTCACCTACCATGGTTCCTGCGCCGGAACCCCGTTCCAGAGGCGATTCCAGAGAAGCCTCTAGTCCGGACCATCAGTAAGGTGGTTGCTATGAAGTCATAGAACCAACCAAAACATCATGGGTCCAGCATAGGAGACTGTAATGCAGGTAATTCCTACCTAACCTCGGTCAGGTGGAGTGCTGGTGGTTATAGGGAAATTAGGAAGGGGAAGAAAAGGGCAGATGTAAAACCCCCAAGGAAAATTAGTAGATACTCAAGTATCACTCTGATCTGGATGAAAGCGCTGACACCTTGTCTGGATCACATCCCTAAGGTCTTGCCTACCTCCCTTTGACCCACGATTCCTCCTAACCCTACCCGCAGGCGGAGGAGGAGCGCGAGCCGCGACATTAGCCTTCTGTGCCCGTCTCTGATCCTCAGACCGAGACGGACCAGGACCCCTATGTTGTTACGCATCGCCTCGTATGCTGGAACCGATAGATGCGTGAGGAAAATGGCCTCTTCCATTCCTTCTCGATCTCAGTATGCAAATCAGGAAGAAATGGGAGGCTCACCTGAGCTGGAGGGTTATGGCCAGAAAGAAAACGCTCATCGAGGCGACCTCGCGACATCACTTTCTTGGCCCACTTCCACGGCAAGTCCAGCCTCGCCGTGGCGTGATCCATAACTTCCAACAGCTCATCATACGCAGGGCAGGAGGATTGGGAAGGCTCAGCCTCAGCCTCTTCGCCATCCTCCGACATCTCCTGCTCCTCCTGGGCTGAACCCAGCAGAGCACTGGCCCCCGGATCAGACTATGTTAGAGAAATAACATCATCCTCCAGCGGCTCTCTCTCGTCCACAGCCACTCTTTAAACTCATCGGCCAGGTCCACCTGTGATCCCCATGAGCTCATTCTCCTCTGTGCCTCAGTAGCAGCGGGTCCTGAACCGCGGGAAGCAGATGGCTGCCCCTCTTTTCTCGAAAAAAGAGACAAACCAGAGCGGAGCTTTTTCATTGAAAAACGCTCACAATAGACGCAAGTTGCCCCCTCAAGGACATCGCGTGCGTGCTCCTCGCCCAAACAAAAAACGCAGAGATCGTGTGTGTCATCAGGTGTAAAATAGCAACGACACGGATGCACACATCCTCTAAACGTTCTGCTTGTGCTCGCCATAATAATAGGATAGAGATCGCTCTTACCACGTTCAAATGCACGCTTCAAACAAAACAGTCTTTGAAGACGAAGAAGAGAATGACATGTTCTCCCGGCGCCTATTTATACTATAATCGCACCGGTAGTGACGTCATGGGCTGTTGCCGGCCAACGTGTTGTTGGTGTTTTTTCAATGTATGCTTCAGACACGGGTCACGACGAGGCTTTCCCCATAGCGCCCCCTAGAGGACGCAGTTCGAAGTTCCCTTGAAAGGGAACGTTTGTTTGTTTGTTTGAGTAGCCTGACATGTCAATCTCTGACTCAACCAATGATGTGATTTTTTTTTTTTTTTTTTATTCGATGGAGACAGGGTTTTACAGTTTCTCAATCGATTTGACACTTTTCTCCAATGCAATGTACTTGCTCTCAAAACAATTAGCACAGCCATCCAAACACAAACTTATCTTAACCAAACAGTTCAACTGACATTTTTTCTACTAATGCATTTATTAAAAGTAAATATTAACATCAAATCTATAGGTGTGTTCTCTATTGATTATAAAACACATTCAGCAGTAGATGCACAAATATGCTAATGAAAATACATGTTCATTGCAATTCTTCAACTGAGTTTTGTTTTATATATTGTGTATATCTAAACGACATAAATTGTTATCCAACACCTTCTATCACCCATAAGAAAAAAATTAATTGCCCCTTTAAACTTAATCTGTTTGTGCCATCTTTTAGCAGCAAGAACTGCAAACAAACTTTTCTGATAACTACAGATCAGTCTTTTACATCACTGCTGTGTATATACACACACGTCTTTTTAATTTTATTTATTATCATTATTATTATTTTGCATATTCGTTCTTGCTCTTTGTATACTTTCCCTTTTATTATTACTCTAAATCAATTGTGAAAAATGAGTAAACGATTAGGAAAACTGCATTTAATGTGTTGTGTATAATTAACCGAGTAGTTTCAGTTTAGGGCCAATCGAAAATATACCATGTTTATTTGATAGAATGACAAATTACAGAGTTTTGTTTGTTGTGTTTGGACAAATGGTACATAAATGTTTATGATTTGTGTAAAACCCTTTTTTCCCCGCAGATATTTGAAAGTATTGGTTGGTTGCATTAACTATTGTGAAAACATTTGAGAGTTTTGTGCACATTGTTTTGAGAATTATTTGCATGATTTGTAATTTGTATTAAATGAATTAAAACATATAATCTGTTTAGAACAATTACAAAGTATTCAGATCACTGTGTTAACTGTTTTGAGAACAGTGACCTGAGTTTGGAGAAATGTGTCAAATCCATTGAGAAAAAATCTAATACTCTGAATTGCTTATTTCCATACTGGTTCATGCTGGTTTAATGCAGGTCAACAAGGTCTTTCAGATGTAGCTGGTTGAGCAAAAAAGTTCTGCCAGTTGTTTTTTTTTATTTTATTTTTTTATTACTTTATTTTGCACCTATTGACATTAACCCCTTAACTGTCATCCCCCATTTTTAAAATAGGCATGAAAGTGGACTATCCAAACTTAAATTGTTGTAATTTATTAACACTTTGGAATACAGACCTAAGGTTGGTCTCTTTTTAAAGAAGAAAATTGCAAAAGTGGAATTTTTTTCAAAAAAGTAAAGTATCAAAAATGTATAGAAGTTTAAATGTACTGTAAATAAAATGCACTATTAATTTTATTTTATTTATTATAAATATTTGACATGACAGGTTTTACTCTAAAATTGATATAAAATTAAAGCCTTGTCTAAATAAGTTATGTTCCAAATTTTAAGTTGATATGAAAAAAATGGAGGTTCCTGTGAGATTTTATTTAGGGCGTTATACCACAAACAGCCACCGGGTGCCATCCAGACTCCATAGATTTTTTTTAATGCATTTTTCTGTCACAAATGTCTAGATTTTTCTGTCAATATTACTTCCATCTCAAAATAACCACCAAATATGGAATCCTGAGAGACAGACCTTTCCAATGATATGTTTTTTGTCAAGATTATAAAAAGGTTTGATTGTAAAAGACCGTAATGCATTTTGTAATATGACACTTGACAGCGCCCACTAAGGGGGAGGAGACTGCCAAAAGTCCGATTTCTTTCACAGGATGAATCTTGGGCTTCTAAGATTTCAAGTGATATATGATTTATGATGATTACTAAAAGATTAAAAGATTTAAAGGACGACAACAAAAAGAGCGCCAAGCGTCCCACAGGTGGGACGGTGACCGTTATTTTGATTTTATTTTATTGAATTTTTATCATTTTATTTTGTTTTGCACTTACTGAGATTTTAATTATTTTGCTTTATTGTATTTTATTTCATTGAGGTTTTATTTGCTGTTTTATTTATTTTAAATATTATTTATTAAATTAATTGTATTATTATTTACATATTGAGATTTAAGTTTTTTTTTTCTTTTACTATTTTATTTTCTTTTGCACATTTTAATTGATTATATCTCAGCTTGCACTATTTTTTACTTTATTTTATTGTACATATATTGCAATTTTTCACTGTATGCAGATATGCTACAAGTGTGTCTGTGGTAAATAAAAAAAACAAAACATTTGTGTCCTGTCAATAAATTAAGACACCGAGAGAGAGCTTTAATTAGCTAATTGGCTCTCTAACCCAGTCACCACACTGTGTGTGTGTGTGTGTGTGTGTGTGTGTGTACCTAGATTACGTGCGCGCACGCACACACACAATGTTCTGTTTCAAATGACCTGTCAATCAAACGTGGTCTCTATGTGGCAGCCAATAAGAACTGTCATCCTGTATCCACGGCGACGCATCACACCCTCTGCTACATTTGATCAAATGACCGTAGTGTGTGATCTAGTGTAAATCTGATGTACATATGTTGTGTGAAGTATGTAATGTCATTTATTGTGTTTTTTGTGTTTTTTTTCAATCAGGAGTGGCAGAGCAGTTTGCCATCGCGGAGGCAAAGCTTCGTGCCTGGTCTTCAGTGGATGGTGACGAGTCTAATGACGATTCTTATGACGAAGATTTTCTACCTGCAAACGAGCCCGTTACACAGAGCACAGGTACACACACACACACACACACACACACACACACACACACAAATACAGTGTCTACGTTTGCATACTTTCCCTTTTATTATTACTCTAAATCAATTGTGAAAAATGAGTAAACGATTAGGAAAACTGCATTTAATGTGTTGTGTATAATTAACCGAGTAGTTTCAGTTTAGGGCCAATCGAAAATATACCATGTTTATTTGATAGAATGACAAATTACAGAGTTTTGTTTGTTGTGTTTGGACAAATGGTACATAAATGTTTATGATTTGTGTAAAACCCTTTTTTCCCCGCAGATATTTGAAAGTATTGGTTGGTTGCATTAACTATTGTGAAAACATTTGAGAGTTTTGTGCACATTGTTTTGAGAATTATTTGCATGATTTGTAATTTGTATTAAATGAATTAAAACATATAATCTGTTTAGAACAATTACAAAGTATTCAGATCACTGTGTTAACTGTTTTGAGAACAGTGACCTGAGTTTGGAGAAATGTGTCAAATCCATTGAGAAAAAATCTAATACTCTGAATTGCTTATTTCCATACTGGTTCATGCTGGTTTAATGCAGGTCAACAAGGTCTTTCAGATGTAGCTGGTTGAGCAAAAAAGTTCTGCCAGTTGTTTTTTTTATTTTATTTTTTTATTACTTTATTTTGCACCTATTGACATTAACCCCTTAACTGTCATCCCCCATTTTTAAAATAGGCATGAAAGTGGACTATCCAAACTTAAATTGTTGTAATTTATTAACACTTTGGAATACAGACCTAAGGTTGGTCTCTTTTTAAAGAAGAAAATTGCAAAAGTGGAATTTTTTTCAAAAAAGTAAAGTATCAAAAATGTATAGAAGTTTAAATGTACTGTAAATAAAATGCACTATTAATTTAAATTTATTTATTATAAATATTTGACATGACAGGTTTTACTCTAAAATTGATATAAAATTAAAGCCTTGTCTAAATAAGTTATGTTCCAAATTTTAAGTTGATATGAAAAAAATGGAGGTTCCTGTGAGATTTTATTTAGGGCGTTATACCACAAACAGCCACCGGGTGCCATCCAGACTCCATAGATTTTTTTTAATGCATTTTTCTGTCACAAATGTCTAGATTTTTCTGTCAATATTACTTCCATCTCAAAATAACCACCAAATATGGAATCCTGAGAGACAGACCTTTCCAATGATATGTTTTTTGTCAAGATTATAAAAAGGTTTGATTGTAAAAGACCGTAATGCATTTTGTAATATGACACTTGACAGCGCCCACTAAGGGGGAGGAGACTGCCAAAAGATTTTAAAGTACCATTTCCATGTTAACGCAATGCCCGATTTCAAAATGGTTTTCACAGGATGAATCTTGGGCTTCTAAGATTTCAAGTGATATATGATTTATGATGATTACTAAAAGATTTGATCGAGAAAAGGACGACAACAAAAAGAGCGCCAAGCGTCCCACAGGTGACAGGTGACCGTTATTTAGATTTTATTTTATTGAATTTTTATCATTTTATTTTGTTTTGCACTTACTGAGATTTTAATTATTTTGCTTTATTGTATTTTATTTCATTGAGGTTTTATTTGCTGTTTTATTTATTTTAAATATTATTTATTAAATTAATTGTATTATTATTTACATATTGAGATTTAAGTTTTTTTTTTCTTTTACTATTTTATTTTCTTTTGCACATTTTAATTGATTATATCTCAGCTTGCACTATTTTTTACTTTATTTTATTGTACATATATTGCAATTTTTCACTGTATGCAGATATGCTACAAGTGTGTCTGTGGTAAATAAAAAAAACAAAACATTTGTGTCCTGTCAATAAATTATTTCAAGTGATATATGATTTATGATGATTACTAAAAGATTTGATCGCGAAAAGGACGACAACAAAAAGAGCGCCAAGCGTCCCACAGGTGGGACGGTGACCGTTATTTTGATTTTATTTTATTGAATTTTTATCATTTTATTTTGTTTTGCACTTACTGAGATTTTAATTATTTTGCTTTATTGTATTTTATTTCATTGAGGTTTTATTTGCTGTTTTATTTATTTTAAATATTATTTATTAAATTAATTGTATTATTATTTACATATTGAGATTTAAGTTTTTTTTTTCTTTTACTATTTTATTTTCTTTTGCACATTTTAATTGATTATATCTCAGCTTGCACTATTTTTTACTTTATTTTATTGTACATATATTGCAATTTTTCACTGTATGCAGATATGCTACAAGTGTGTCTGTGGTAAATAAAAAAAACAAAACATTTGTGTCCTGTCAATAAATTAAGACACCGAGAGAGAGCTTTAATTAGCTAATTGGCTCTCTAACCCAGTCACCACACTGTGTGTGTGTGTGTGTGTGTGTGTGTGTGTACCTAGATTACGTGCGCGCACGCACACACACAATGTTCTGTTTCAAATGACCTGTCAATCAAACGTGGTCTCTATGTGGCAGCCAATAAGAACTGTCATCCTGTATCCACGGCGACGCATCACACCCTCTGCTACATTTGATCAAATGACCGTAGTGTGTGATCTAGTGTAAATCTGATGTACATATGTTGTGTGAAGTATGTAATGTCATTTATTGTGTTTTTTGTGTTTTTTTTCAATCAGGAGTGGCAGAGCAGTTTGCCATCGCGGAGGCAAAGCTTCGTGCCTGGTCTTCAGTGGATGGTGACGAGTCTAATGACGATTCTTATGACGAAGATTTTCTACCTGCAAACGAGCCCGTTACACAGAGCACAGGTACACACACACACACACACACACACACACACAAACAAACGATAAAACAGATTCTTCATTTCTTTAATGATGCACCAAGTTGCTATTTATTTCAATATTATTAATGGATGTAGTGATTTGTATTATAGCATCTACTTTAATCATTATTCATGTCGTGGTATAAAACAGAGTAATTAAGGTCTGAAGTGGCGGTTTTGTGTGCTGATGCTGTGTCAGTATACTGTGCATGTGTATTGCATTTATTTAGCAATTTCACATTAAATTATTTATAATAAATTACAATATAAATGTATAATTATAATACTAGAAATCATAGTATAACTTATTTATATTATAATAATTCTATGCTGTGTAAATTATATTATATTATTTTTATTATATATATATATTTATTCATTATTTGTTCACATAATTATAGATGGATTGATATAGTTATAATTATCGATAGATAGTTTTATAGATAAACATTATTATTATTATTCAAATGTATTTATAAGCATGTGGAATTAATCATTACACATTCTTCTCAAAACAGTATTCTTTTGTCAGCACAGATATAATTGCAGCTTCTCTGTATATTCTTTCTTTCTTCCTTTTATCTATTTTTCATTTTCTCTCCGCATCAAACTGAACGCAGAATCGCAGCACAGACGTTACTGTCCTAGTGCCCTACTTTCATTTAGAAAACCTCTCTCTCTTTCTCTGTCTCTCTCGTTTTGCTCTCCGGTGCTATTAGATATCCCAGCATTCATTTCTCCTGCAAGTTTAATGTGTTCTGCTGCGGCAGACCGTAGAGGGAATGAAGTTGCTCATCTCTTGTACAGCTAGAGTTTACACTGTTTTAATCAGACGCGCTTCCAGCACCAGTGAACTGTTAAAGACCAAACACTGCTGCGGCACGACTGTCACAGACAATCAGGACATATTTGATCTTTAATATATAACCACCGTTCTGGAAATCAGGAACTCTCAGCCAAATGATGGTGAAGGGAAACAAACACTGAAGTGACTGGCATGTTACTTCCATTAAAATAACATAATGCAACATAAATAGTTTATGCCAATTATATTTATGTATACTATATACATAAATATATAAATATGTTCTCATTTTAGATATTTTAATGTATTTTCTTGGTGTTTTTTTTTGTGTGTACTTTTTATGTTTATTCATGTGTTAGTACATTCATGCATTTATTAGTTTATTTATTTATTATTACTATATATACACACACACACACACACACACGTACTGTATATGTATATATATATACACACACACATATATATATATATATATATATATATATATATACATGCAATTAATAACAGTAATTAATTAATATGATTAATTATATGTATGTGTGTGTATAATTCATTTATTTATAAAGATTATATATTTATAAAATGTATTTATAATAATTCATAAATAAGTGAATGAATGAACAGATACATAAATAAAAAGTAAAATAAAAACCAAGAAAATAAAATTAAACACACACGCATATATATTTTCATATTTTAACTTTTTAAAATTTTTATATATACATTTTGTAAGCATATTTTGCAGATATTTTATTTTTCCTGTTGTATTCATATATACTTTTTGTTTATTTGTTATTTATTTTATTTTTTTCTGTAATATATATTCACAGATTACACTTATTAATTTTATTTTTAGCCTAACTATAACTTTTTAATGAGGTTAAAACAAAAAAGAAAAAACGATTTGCCAGTTGGGTGAGGAAAAACATGCTCAAAATAGATTATCTGTCTTACTATGTTGCTTCTGTAGTAAATTAATCTTGTTTTCCAGTAAAAATAAGTAAATATCCTTGATTGAAGTATTGATTTGTTGCTGTGATTCTAACGCACCTGTGGTCTCCTCTCAGATCTGTCCTCGTACCCTCATTACCTGCGGGATCTCCTGCACACTCAGGTGTGTCAGACTCACCTGCGGGGGCGTGGCCTGTGCGAGGCGGAGAGCGGCGTGGGTGCTGACCTTTCACCTCCCGTGGGGTCGCCGGGGTCACCGTCGGACACGCTCTGCTCCAGCATGTGCAGTTTGGATGAGAGACACCCGTTGCTTCGGGATCTCAGGCGTCACACGGATACGCCTGCAGCTGACCTCACCGCCAAGATCCTCGGCGCTCTTCAGGGAGGGGAGGAGCTACTGTTAGCCAGCCTACACAGGGCGGGGCACAGGCGAGGCCACTCCCCCTGCTGCTTGGAAACGTTTTCCGAGACGTTCAAAGATGAGGACACGCCTTGTAAGGACTGCGGGGGCGGAGTCTGCCTTCCGCAGGAATATTCCACGCGGAGGAAGGTGTCGGATGTGGCTTCGTCCGGCATAGTCTCGCTCGACGAGGAAGACGTGGAGGAAGAAGAGCGAGAAGAACAGTGAACGGTGCATGTTTCTTTTGGACTCCACCCACTAATTTGCATTCGGACCCCACCCTTTGATTTGCATTTGGGCTCCACCCACTTATTTGCATTTAGACTCCACCCATTGGTTTGCATTCAGCCTCCGCCCACTTATTTGCATTCGGACTCTGCCTGTTGATTTGCATATGGGTTCCACCCACTTGTTTGCATTCGGGCTCCAACCACTTATTTGCATTTTGGGTGCCAGTTGCTCTTCTCTTTTGGAAAACACTGAATGTTTCGTTCCGGGCTCCACCCACTTATTTGCATTTAGACTCCACCCATTGGTTTGCATTCAGCCTCCGCCCACTTATTTGCATTCGGACTCTGCCTGTTGATTTGCATATGGGTTCCACCCACTTGTTTGCATTCGGGCTCCACCCTTTGGTTTGCATTCGGGCTCCAACCACTTATTTGCATTTTGGGTGCCAGTTGCTCTTCTCTTTTGGAAAACACTGAATGTTTCGTTCTCAGGCTCACGAAAAAATGCATCTTGACAAACTAAACGGAGGAACGCAAGACTGACGTCGCCCTTATTATCATGCATGTGTCGCGCAAGTGCCAGACTGAGCGCGAAGTCCTGGACGTCCAGTTGTTTCGCACGGTTTGTGGATTTGGCTGTTGTGTATTCCCGCTCCTCATGTGACGTCAGGCCCCATTGCATTCTGGGTCTTGATCACAGGATGCCTGTTCCCTGGTCCCTGGTTGGCATGGCTTGCTGATTACGTCAAAAACGTCGTTTACGAAGAGAAGCACGAATGCCGAATGTTTATACCATGACATAAATGCGTAAGAATATCGACGATCAAGTTATGCTGTTTTTCTATTATTATTATTATTATAAATTGATTATATTATTGAATGGAATGTTTGTTTTTGCCTGTTTTAAAGCATTTTCGTCCTCAGACGGACACAGTGAATGTTTTGGAGTTGATCCAGTGTTGGTGAATCATAAATGTGGGTCAGTTTGAAGGACTTTGGGAGAGTTGCTCTATTTTTGTATGTGTGGTTTTTGCGGTGAATTTGGCGTAAGTGAGTAACGCTGTGGTTTGTTTACAAGATGCTTGTTTATTGCTTTCTTTCTCTCTTTCTGTCTCTGAATTATCACTGTGTGATATTGTCTACATCAGGAAAAAATAATACTAATGTGAAAACTAAATGAACGGCCCTTTTTCTTTCTTTTGCGTAAGAATATCGACGATCAAGTTATGCTGTTTTTCTATTATTATTATTATTATTATAAATTTTGATTATATTATTGAATGGAATGTTTGTTTTTGCCTGTTTTAAAGCATTTTCGTCCTCAGACGGACACAGTGAATGTTTTGGAGTTGATCCAGTGTTGGTGAATCATAAATGTGGGTCAGTTTGAAGGACTTTGGGAGAGTTGCTCTATTTTTGTATGTGTGGTTTTTGCGGTGAATTTGGCGTAAGTGAGTAACGCTGTGGTTTGTTTACAAGATGCTTGTTTATTGCTTTCTTTCTCTCTTTCTGTCTCTGAATTATCACTGTGTGATATTGTCTACATCAGGAAAAAATAATACTAATGTGAAAACTAAATGAACGGCCCTTTTTCTTTCTTTGTCTCTGTGTAATTGTGTTACTGTCGCTCGTCCTGGTTTTGCGTTCGGTAAATTTCAAGCACTCTCTGTTTTTCTATAAGGGCCACTTTTGTTCTCCGATGTTCCAGTGTTACCATGGAGATCCATGATTCACCAAGAAATTATGGGTTATAGTCAATCAGACAGTTTTGACAATCTAATTAGTATACGCACACACACACTCTCTCTCATATACAGACACACACGCTCATATGCACACAATCATACTCATATACAGACACACACACACACACGCTCATATGCACACAATCATACTC